GCTTAAGGATTATAACCCTTACTAAGTAGAATTCTCCTTTCTGTGTTGCCGGAAAAGAAGGGCGGAAGTATTTTTGCGCAGAACTTCTCTCTGCGTAGGCGGCCTACGGCCGAAGGCCGCCTACGCAGAAAGAAGTTCTGCGCAAAAATACTTCCGGTCCCCTTTTCCGGCAACACAGAAAGGAGAATTGTACTTAGTAAGGGTTATAATCCTTAAGCGCGGCCGAAGGCTGCCTACTCAGAAAAAAGTTCGTTTTCATGTATGCACTATTTCGGTTTTTGTCATATGCATTACTTCGGTTTTGAGTCGAAACCGTGCATGTATGCATTACTTCGGTTTATGTCATATGCATTATTTCGGTTTTGAACCGAAACTGTGCATGTATGCATTACTGCGTTTTTCTCATATGCGTTATTTCGGTTTTTAAACGAAAGTGTGCATGTATGCATTATTTCGATATTTTCATATGCATTATTTCGGTTTTCAACCGAAACTGTGCATATATGCATTATTTCGGTTTTTTCATATGCATTATTTCGTATGCACAGTTTCCATATGCACAATTTCAGGGTGCCGGGTCAAAGGTCGGGTCTTCGCAAAATTAAAAACCTTATATTTCAAAAAATTTTGAACTTATTTTTAAAAAGCGTGTTGTAAACGGGGTTAAACTCCCTTTCTTCTAATATGCATATGTGTATACTTCGTATGTAAAGATTTTTTAATAAAACAAATATTTTAAATAAAAAAATTACTAACCGAATTTTAAAAAATTTATATTGTTGGAACCACATCAAACCTTTCTTCTGATATGCGTATTTGTATACTTCGTATATAAACCTTTGAGAAAAAACACTTAAAAGGAAAAAATACCTTTTTTTATAAAAAAAATTTTACAAAAAAATTACTAACTCATTTTTAAAAATTTGGTATCCTTGTAAAGGCGATTCAACACCCTTTCTTTTGGTACGCATATTTGTATACTTCGTATATAAAATTTTTAGAAAAAACACTTAAAAGCAAAAAATACCTTTTTTTATAAAAAAAATATTTTAAACAAAAAAATTACAAACCGATTTTTAAAAAATTAGTATCGTAAAGGATACCAGAAAACTTATACTTTCTTAAACTCAAAAATTTCTATTTATATACACAAAAAAAAAATTATTAAGAATGATATTTTTTCAAAAATAAATATTTGAAATTTGTAGGGATATTCAAAGATAAAGTTTTAAAAGGACATTTTCAGTACTTATTCGTCCTGGTGCACCCAAAATTATTATTTTTTTCTATTCTACAGAATTTTTCCTTTTAATAGATTAATAGATACTAGATACTAGATTCTACAATGCACCGAATCTTTTGAATAATTTTTTTATGCAATCATATTTTAGAAATTTCAAAGTCCTTTTAAAAAAAATCCTGACGTCAGAGCGAAAAACTAAAAACTATATTTGGCCCCCAGTTTTCTGAATATATTGATTTTTTTCGTGTGTAAAATTGACTGCCGCACGGTGTTATGATTTCATTGACACAAATTTTTAAATATTTTTATGTTGATTTTTTAAGCTTACACTGTTTTGTTATCTGATGGAATTTCTTCAAAAAATTCTTTTAAGAAGCTGTTTTTATTCATAAAAAACTAAATTTTTGGAGGTATTTTCAAACCGGTCCAGTTCACGTAAATATAAGTATTTTTCCGAAATATTTTGGCGGAAGTCTTAAAATATAATAAATTTTGTAATCCCGCCGGATAAACCGCACCTTGTTTTGGTGATGCAGTCTAATGTACTGGATGTAAAATAATAACTATGCACAGTTTTTTTTTTTTAATAAAAGTATTTTACTGTTAATTTTGCACATATTATACTTTAATTTTATTAATTAGTTTTAAAATTTTAATTATTATTTGCATTTGCCAGCAGTGTAAACTTTGAGAGATAAGTACATGCGGCACGCAAGTGTTTTTTTCAGGTGTATTTTTACTTAGACTTTACAAAAAAATACAAAAAAAGAAAAACTGTATGGGGTTGGTCGAATGCATGGCGTCCTTGGCACCAGTTCCGAGTCTAAAAAGGGGGAGTATAAAGGACTTAAAATGGAGAAAATTAGGCTGTGGTTACAGAAGATTTGGAATAAATTAACCGACGAACCGTTTTTCGCTTAAACGGTTCAAGTAAAAATTTAATTTAAAAACTTGAAAGTTTCCCATTAAATTTTACTTTACAGTAGAGTACAAATTTATAAAAAAGTTCATCATGTCGATTCAAAACTTCTGCTTTGTTTCCATAAGCAACGAATTGGAATGTTTCTACCATGATACAAAAAAGAAGGTAGTTTCATTACTACTATTTTTTGATTATAAAACAGATTTTTGACATTTCTCCAGATGTAAACATTAAGCATAGCTTTGCCACATTGAAATTTTTTGAGAGGGGAGATTTTCTTTTAAATATTTGGGATTTAATAAAAGAGTAAAATTTGCATAAAAAAATTGCAAGTTGATGTGTCGATAATCAAATTTGAACGTTTTTCTCAAGCGTTTAAAAGATCCTTTGAATAATATCGATGTGCAGAGATGAAGAAATAAAATAAAATCCAGTTTTAAAACATTTATTTATTAAACAACTTTTTTTTATTTTAAAGGGTGAACACACCAAAACTGCGACACTTAGAAATTACTACCAGAAACAAACTAGCAGGCTTTGAAATTATTATTTTTTGTATTATATAACTTGGAAGTATAGATGTTATTAAAATGCTAAAATATTAGTTATTATTTGCTCCATATGCAAGTGATCGGTATTTTCATCGTACGCGCGCCATCATGTTCTGCACGACTGCATCATCGACTTTACGCGATGCGCACAACTACATTGTTTTGCACTCTTCAATATTTTTCACTGTTTCGACTGTTTTCTTCAAGATTTCTTTGACAACTGACCAATATTCCCCAATAGGACGTGGCTCTGGGCTATTGGGTGGATTGCAGTCGTGAGGTACAAAATTGATGTTATTTGCATTATACCACGGCAATGTGTCCTTGGCATAGTGGCAGGTTCCCACCTCCGCCTAGAACAGTGGCCTACTCCTTATCTGTTGATAAATGACAGAAGACGCCTTTTGAGGCACTCATCCCGATAAACTTGATCATTCATTGTCCCGGATGGGAAAAAAGGGCTGCTCTTACGGCCACAGGATCAAATAGCTTGCCAAACCATGTGGTTTTTTGGAAATTTGGACTTCATTTTCAGCTTACAACTTTCAGGGGCATCTTGACGACTTGCACCAGTATAAAAATCTTGACCTGCAATATATTTTGAATTTTTATAGCAGTAGGTTTCGTAGTCCATAACAATGCAGTTGTATTTTTTAATTTAGAATTCATACAACTTCCGAATGCGGGATTTCGCTGTAACATTCTACTTTGCGCCTCGGTCTGGCGCTGTTTGAGCTGTAGAACATCTCAATGAAGCTTTCCGCTTTACCTTTTGTACGAAAAACTGCGATCTGCGTACGGATTTTGCAACATAACGCGACAAAATCTTCGGATTTCGCGAAAACGCTCTGAGGACCTTCCGAGCACTGTTTTTATCACTTTGACCATGCTAACCCCCGCTCCCTGGTTTTCTCGTAACTGCCAGGCCTTATTTGTACCGATTCAACCCCTGCAAACTGTCGAATAGTGCAATCTTTAACTTTTTAGCAATTTTACGTGTACTTAAGGCCGGATCATTTATAAACTCGTGCAAAATGGTTTGTCTCGTTTCTAACTAGGTTGCCATTTTTAACTCAACTAGGAATCAAATTCAAATGAAATTTCTTCTACGTCCAACTAAGGTCATGTGGTATTTGAATTTCAAAATATTGAATTCGTTTTGGGTAAGTTATAAGCTTCCCAAAGTGTCGCAGTTTTGGTGTGTTCACCCTTTATTTTAAACAAAACAAATATATTTGCATAACAGAACTATTTTTTTTTTAATAGTCCAAAAAGATGTATTGTGAGCTATTTCGTCATTAAAGCATAGTCCGAATGGTCTCACTGCCCTCACAATTAAAGGAGCCAAAATTCAGAATTCTCCCGAAGTGAAGTATCTAGAAGTAATTCTGTATACAAAACTGTCGTGGAAATCTAACGTGGAACACAAAACCTCTAAAGAATTGGCAGCATTTTGGCAATGTAAACAGGTATGGTGGAGCAGATTCTCATTCAAGAGCGTGGGAAGTCAGCTTGCAAAACTTCAAAGAACTACTGCCGTGTGCTGTACGGAAGCTTTCTCTACAACACGTGGCGCTGCTCTGATGCACTGCTGCGTTTACCGTCACTTTGTTACTTCATACGTGGCCTTAAAGGCCACCTGCAAAATAGAAAGAAACGGATGCCGGTATAACACTGAGTGGGGCGAGGTGGAGGGGAATGAGTTTACATGTCTGCGGTGACAGACGAGCTGCACTTAAGGCATTGGGCTGCCCTCTAACTACTTACTTCCAAACTCTGGGTGCCTGTTCAATCGGAACTACCTCCTATCGTCCATACCCATATTATCTTTCATATCATGAAGCACCGAAAATTAAAGCCTTACTGGGGCTAACGTTTGCAAAGCACATCCAAATCCTTTTCGGTGATTGGCTTTAGAATAAACGAATTTAATAATAACAAATTTTTGCAGTGGACAACATATTTAGCGGTCTTTTGTTTCAAAGAAAAAGTTGTTTGGTTGTTTTTCAAATATGGCGATGTATGAGTTCCATTTTCGTTATTGCTCAGATCGAAGACAAATTTCCTTTTAATTTTGTAAATAATTTTTTCAAAATAAATAAATGATTATTGATGACTAGGTATGGCAGCACGAAATGTCACAATCTGCTTAATTGTCAGGTAGTTAATATGGCGTCCGAAAAGTGACAATGAAACTACCTTCTTTTTTGTATCATGGTTTCTACCTTACTTCCAAATAGGATGATTTTGTTTGCACAATTTATATTCATGTTTCTTTAATTAGGACACACTGCAGCCGTTGTGCTCAATTTCATGTGTTTTGCTGACGGTATTGGAACCAACGGAAGCCGAATTTACACTTTTTCAAGAAGGGCAACGGAACTCTGAAAAATCACAGCGATCGCAGCTGGATTTGTGTGTTGTGATATTTCGAACACGCTCGGCGGTGTCACCAGAAATTGGAAGACTAGTGGAGCATAGCAAACGTCAGGTACCCATTTTCTTTATACATGCTATTAAAAATACTGCAATTTTGCGAACTTAATGTGACCATCTTTCCATTTAGGTTCGCGGATTTGTTGGCTGTCATAAAATGTTGGAACGTGATATATATTTACTAGTTTGTCTGGCATTTAATCATTGGCATACTGGGATCGAAGAACCTCAACAATATCCCCAGTGCATTCTAGCAATACACAGTTCAAAACGCCTACTCGTGGAGCAAATCACACCTTCGCCGCATTTGCTAGCTGATGCCATAATAAGTCTGACTTTGACAAAAGGCCAACGCCACGAAGGAAGAGAGGGAATGACTGCCTATTATCTAACAAAGGTATTGCGAATTTTACGGACATTTACATGTCTGCAATTCAAATTTTTATTATGTATGTTTAGGGATGGGCTGGTTTGGTGGTTATGGTTGAAAATCGTCACGAAAATAAGTGGATACATGTCAAATGTGACTGCCAAGAAAGCTACAATGTTGTATCTACAAGAGGTGAATTAAAGACGGTTGACTCGGTCCCACCTTTACAACGGTAAGCGTATCTCAACGGCCACGTATCTCAGTTTTACATAGTAAACTAAACTGTTATTCACATAAACTAGGCAAGTTATCATTGTTTTAACTCAGCTAGAAGGAAGTGGTGGATTTAGTATTGCTCATCGGCTAACACATCGACTTGCAAACTCCAGGGGACTTCACGACTGGGGGCCTCCAGGAGCAACGCACTGCCCGCCAATAGAAAATGTTCATGGACTACATGCGCCTCGTTTGATTACCTAAATCTCCAACATTCTAGTCAACGTTTTGCGTAACTGATATACACATAAATATTTATAGATACAAGGACGAGTATACGTAGGTTTAATAAATAATTTGAATGTTTTGTTTTCCTAATAATGTAAGGCAAAGTGAATAAATATCAAGAAACATAATTTCATTTCCCCCAATTGTTCTCTACGATGCAAATAAGGACCAAGTGACTTATTACGACGACAAAAATATAAAAACAAAATTCTTTAAACCTTATCACACTTTAAAATACACTTTATAAACCGGTCCACAATGCAACATAGGAATTTTGACTTCTAACGCAACTTAGTAGCTTTAGCACAACCGCAAAGTTTGCTTTTCTTTCGTTCGTCGAACTAATGTATATATATTTTTTTTTAAGTGGTGATAAAATAATTTCCTTTGTCATTTGATTCTTATTAATAAATAACAGTTTTGTCAACATGAATAGTGAGGCGCCAGGCGAGTACTTTATTTTGCGATTTTTGTTAATATAGTTGTTTTGAAAATGGTTATAATCAAGGTACATTGAACAGGTAGTATCAGTAGAGCAGCTGATTTGATTTATTTTCAAATTATTTGGTCTCGAAAATGCGAAATATTTTTAATTTTTTCTCACAAAAATTCTGAATTGTTAAAATCCATTTGCATGTGAAACCTTTTTGCATACAAAACAAGCGATTGAATAGCAGCTTTTGGAACGTTCGCCCAACTCAGCAGCACAACCGCTGATTACTGGCCTTGTAAAGGATGGATCAATGCTTCGAGAAGCAAACAAATTTACTAGGAAAGAAAGTTGCAACAATTTTTATTTTTTCCAATTTCAATTTTTTATTTTTTATAATTTTTTGTATTTCACATGGCACGCTTTGATTTAGAAGAAAAAATTCAGAACAGTTTTTGACACTTTCGATACCAGAAGCAACAACAAAATACACGCAAATGTTGTTTTTGCTCTACTGATACTACCTGTTTAATGTGCCTTGGTAGTAATACATATTTTATAAAACGCCTTTTTTATTAAAAAAGTTTTGAATTTTTTTGTTAGTTAGAGTTATAAAAAAGTTTCAACGAGTGCAGCAATTTCTGTTCAATATTTTGTAAAAAATATCAAGAACTCGTCCCCATGTTTCCCCCTTGATTAAATAGAACATCTTTTTAAGTCGCATATTGGAACGAATCGAGAATCTAGGACGACAAATATGTTTACTTCATATGTATTTGACTAACTTCGATGAAATTTGGTACATAGGGGTTTTCGATGTGACTGATTACGAATATGATATTAAGTTTTCAAAATTAAGATTGGCGGATTCAATATGGCGACTTCTTTTTAATTACACAGGCCAACAAAATTTAAACAATGTTATGTATGTATTATATATCGCAAACGTCAAGCTGTGAGGTTTTACTTTATCGTGCTCTGATTTTGGCTTTCTATTTGCTAAGTTTGGCTGACTTCCAAAACGTCAATTGCTTTGCATACGTACAAAGTGTAATGTTCCATAACGCCGAACTACAAAATGTTGACGATGTATACTTTACCAAAACGCATCCGAAAATTTATCGAAACGCATCGCTAGCGCAATCAGCGCATCAGAAACAAAGTTGATGCTTCGTTTGTTATTGGTTACCATTGGTGTTTTAAAAATGGAAAATTCAGAAAAAATGTTCAATGCTATATTGAGTATTTAAAATATGCATTTGAATACCGCAGTATAACAGTTTCCAAACAATGTATTGATACGTTTTGGAAGTCAGCCTTTATTGTGCTAATTCTGAGTTAAAGTAGTGATAAAAAGTGCTTGAGCATCTTAGTATGAAACAACTGAAGCTAAGTGAAAGTGATTGTGTTTTATATTAAACTAAATTTAATTAAATTTCACTAGCTGACATTCTAATATTGCCGAGTCATTTGTTGCTATCATTGTTGTTGTATCCTTTGTAGTTAACTGAATTCATTTTGTTTTTGCACATTTGTTCTACTCTTTTTGTTTACTTCTTCTAGTAATTCTTGTCACACCTGTTTGCGTTGTGTTTATTAAGTGTCATAATTACAGTGATACTCAAACTGTTCGCTACATTTATTTAAAGCTATTTACATCAGCTCCTTAATTGTTATAATTTATTTTGTTTGTCTTTTATTAACGAGTGTATTACATAAATCTTTCAATATGAAGTGTGATCTTGATACTTGCCAAATTAAAAGCGATTCTGAACGCTACTTATCGTGCTGGCTGTGTGATGGTTTTACCATCTGAAATGTATTGGTTTGACGGGAAGAATTCTGGACGCTATTAATGATGGCAAGGGCCTTCGCTGGTCTTGCGTAAAGTGTATGTCAACCGAAGTTGATCTTTTCAAGCTAATTAGGCAAACCAGAAATGGTTTTACAGAAATAGGAAGAGAATTGTCGGTACTGACAGAAAAATTTAAGAATTATGAAAATGTGTTTAAATCATTCAAATGCTTAGATACCTTGCAATCTGTTAAGGATATCCGTGTGTCTAAACGTAAGCGTCTTCATAGTCCATCTAAGGAAATTATTGCCGTTGCACGTCAGAATAATCTTCCGACTGACTTAATTAATCTAACTTCTCCATGTCCTCCAGCATCAGAATCCTCAGCCTTAAAAGAGCGTGTAACGAAATCTTCTTCGGATAATAACGAGGCTGAAGTATCTTCCCCTTCCCCCATTGAAGTGGTGGCATCATCTTCAAAGCCTCCACCGCCTTCCCTATCCTCAACTACTAACGCAGAAACTCAACCCCCTCCACCGGTAGTCCAGTCTGATACGAGGAAACTAGTTGTGGTTCCGCCAAAGAAGTCAATCTTTGTCTCTAAATTTTCGAGAGACACTACCGAAGACGATATAAAGCTTTATATCTCATCAAAAATTACAACTGTCGACTTAAGCATCAGAAAATTTAATTTTAAATACGAAAGAAATATTGCTTCATTTAAAATTGACGTAAATTTATATAATTTTAGTGCGCTGCTTAGTAGTTCTTTTTGGCCCCCGGAGCTTTCGTTCGTGAATTCGAATATAGGCCCAAAAAAGGAAATAACTTAGCTAATATTCCCCGTCATAACACTGAATCAAAAAACTAATTATTAAATCTGCTTTAAGTATTTATTACCAAAACGTTAGAGGCTTAAATACTACATTAACGAACTTATACCTTAAAAACCTTGAATGTAATTATAATATTATTTCTTTTACTGAAACTTGGCTGAAACCTCACATTTTCAATTCAGAGATTCTTCCAAATAATTATCATATCTATAGACAAGATAGGGAGGACAGAATCGGCGGTGGCGTACTCTTCGCTGTAGACTCTTCAATACCATCTGAAGAAGTTAGTCTTCCACACATTTATTCAGTAGAATTCAAATGCATTCGTGTACAGGCTGGAAAAGAGTATTTATTTAGCTCTATGCTATATCCCTCTATATCCCCCCTCTGATTCAATGATTGTGTAGGGTGATTTTAATTTACCAAGCATATCATGGAACAACATTGACAATGATATCGTACTTTTCGCGTCTAGTGCGTGCAACAACGTATTTTTAGAGGAGATGGCTGAACTCTGCCTAACTCAGGTTAATGTACTTCACAATAAGTTTGGTAAAGTATTAGATCTTGTTTATGTTGATGATGCACAGGGTAGGCAAAAACTCGGAGTTCGAGCGAGCGAGCGAGCAAACTCCTACTCAATGCCTCGCAGGCAACGAGGCGCTCGCAGCTCGTACTCGTAGCAGCAATGAGGCGAGGCACGAGAAGTTTGGCTTGCTCGGCAAACGAGCGAGCGCTGCTTGTTTCCTCGCGCTCCTATTAAACGAGCGAGGCTGTTGTGTGTTGCCTCGCTCGCGGTGCCAGGCGAGTAGCTGGCTGATCAGTGATCACTCGCTCTGCTAGGTAAGACGAGTGAGCGACGAGCGAGCGCTCCGAGTGTACTATAAATCACACGCATTTTTGTGCAAAAAAAATGTGGGAATGTATGTCAATAGATTATGTACGAAAGTATGTTAATAATTGTATGTACATATGTGCATATGCATATAAATATGTGAATATTATATTAGGGCAGCATTTAAAACAACAAATAAAATTTATTACATACATAAGCATACATTATGGAATGAAATATTTTTTTATAGTTATATACATATATGTATATGTACATACGTACATACATACATAACATGCATAGTTATATATGTATGTATGTATGTATGTATGTACATATGCATGTATTTTGTCTTTACAGAGAAAAGTAAGTAACGAAGATATTATAATCGTTTGTGCCGCAGAAACAAAAAACAAGTAAGCACTTGTAACACCCCCAAAAAAGTGATATACAAGTCGTTGTTGCGAGTGGACGTGTTTTACTAATGGTGTTCTTACACGATATGTATTTGCATGTGTACATGCCACTTTTTACATATTGAAATATCAACATATCGTGTAAAGGCAAATTAGATTTGTCTCTGTACAAAGCAGATGCACGTACATACTACAAATACAAATACAAGTACAAATAGAAATGTTTATATTTTCATCTGACACACAGATAGAATCATCTGAGTTTAGTTTATTTCGTTTTCAAAGAACGTATTTTAAAATAGTTAAATAAAGACTTTGAATTTGACAGACATACGCAAATACATATGTATTGAAAAAGTCAAATACATGTCGTGTAAGAACACCTTAAGCTCTGAGTCGGTGAATTTTTTCTCCGTCAAATTGACAACTTTATTAAAATAATAACATAGCGCCTGAGGCAGTGACTCTTATGTGTTTGGAACTAATAAGTTTGTAATTATTAGTTATCCAATATGCCGTGTATTTGTGGTCAAAAAGTTGACCGTATGAAAGTTAAAACAAAAATTCAATGTGAAAATTGCAACGAGATTTTTCATATGAAATGAGTTGGTGTTTTGCCTGCTGACTTGGATTTCTTAGAGAGCTCTGGAAATAAATATTTTTGCAACGAGTGTACCGCTGCTCGCAAAAGATCCATCCGCACCTCTCCCCCTAACGTTAATTGGGAAGATGCAGCCGCAGCTAAGAGTACATCGTCATCTAATTCGCCTAGCCTCTCACAACTATCTCTTAATCCTAAGAATGTGGCTGATAATC